TTGACTGATTTTGTTTTGCTGCCTCGTAGCTGATCACTTAAAATTCTGTCTTGAACTTTTAGGGTTATGAAACAAATGTTGGCGCGAGGGGTACCCAGTTGTCAGGTGGGGAAAAACAGCGGATTGCCATAGCTCGTGTCCTTTTCCATGATCCTAAAGTACTGTTGCTCGACGAGGCTACAAGCGCAATGGATGCTCAAAACGAAAAGGTTTGTTTTCTTCTCTAGCGCTCTCTGAATGTGTGGTGAGACTAAATATGATTTTCCAAAGGTAAAAATGTTAACTGTAACGAGAACAAGGCCGTTCGAGAAAAACTTTTCCCGTCAAATGCTTGAGGGCGACATACACCTCAAACTTTTCTTCGGAAAGTTTTTGAGTCACTCATGCCTTAATGCAGCTAGATGAACTAATTTCGAATATGTAATTTAAATTATGAAAAAATAGACTGCTGATGGATGGCACACTGGGGCTCGATATGTGGAGTTTCTCAGTGTTATCGATCGACAACTTAACGAGGAGCAGAGTAATTCTATCTGATTTTGTCTGCGGATGGAGAACAGAGTTGCTTTTCGTTGAATCAACAAGCATAACCGTCAGAAACAGTACAGACATTTAGACGATTAGACCTGCAGTGGCACAAACTTTTCGGGCAGTTTTTAAAACAATCTTAGGCTTCTCCTCAAAAAAGGAAAGAATGCCAGGAAAACCCATAGTCCTCGCTAGCCGAATCGTGCCTGTTTGTCACCTGTGATTTTTTGTGTGAAAGAAACATATATACAAAAAATGTGAATTGATGTTCAGGTAGTTCAGCAAGCACTTGACCAGGCACAGGAGAAACGCACGACAATTATTGTTGCTCATCGATTATCGACGATACAAAACTGTGATTTAATCTGTTTGATGGATCCCAAATCAGGACGAATTATTGAACATGGTAAACATTCAGATCTCATTCAGCAACGCGGCATCTATTATAAATTAGTAGTGGGTGAATGATAAATAAATATAAATGTGTATAGAACAATTAATAAACGTTTTGTCCTTTCTGTTTTTGTTGGAAACTTTATCGTTTATACATCTTTAGCTGTTTATAGCTTCATCTACCGGGTGTCCGGAAATTCATCTACCAAAAAGAAAATTTAATATCTCGGTCATTTTTCAACTAAATCGAACAATTTCTTTTTTAAATGAAAGAGAAATGTTCAAAGTTTTATTTGGTACCAAAAGTTTCTACAGATATTGCTCGAAAGTGCCACCGTTTACATCGATACATAATTTGAGTCTTTTCACAACACCATCAAAAACATTTTCCAATGATTCTTTTTTTATACCTTTTATTTCTTTATAGATAATAAGAGATACACAACCTTTTTCATCATGAAAATCGACTATTTTCTGTTTGAGACGTTTCGTCTTTATTCAAAAGACATCCTCAGTCAAATGTGACAGACGAAAGTTGGTTAAAATAG